GAGCAATCACACCCCGAAGGAGGATGGCCATACCACAATCCTTTCTTCTCCATTCTCCTCTTCAGAGTTTGGGCAGGCGTGCACATATGCCCAGTATCTTTTTCAAGCTGTCAGGTTTAGGACTCAAACCATGCAGCTGGTTGTGTATCAGCAGTTAGCGTAATGGCTATGTCGCTGGACTCCCACGTAGTCGACTGCGGTTCGTGTCCCAGACCTGGTGGCTTAAAACTCACGCCGGGTGCGTGTGCGTGCGTGCCCAAGATCTCGAGAGGAGAATGGAGGAGAAGGGATTGCGGTGTGACCATCCCCCCGGGAGGTGATTTCTTGCTTTCTGTCTCTATGTCTCTCTCTTGTCTGGCGAGCGCATGTGCCCTATAGGGAAAACCTCCTAAAAAACCAAAAAAAACCCAAAAAAACATGCATCTGGTCATGTAGGATCCAGCCATCTTAACCACTATACCACCTGCTGACCCCTACTTTATCTTATTCATTATGTGTACACACACACACACACACATATGCACATGTGTCCACCGGAAAGACAGAGACAGGAAGATAGAAAGTGAGAAATCATCCCCTAGGGGGATGACCATGCTGCAGTCCCTTCTCCTCCATTCTCCTCTCAGGATCTTGGGCACGCATACACATGCACCTAGTGTGAGTTTCAAGCCTCTGGGTCCAGGACTCATCCATAGTCAGCCAACATGGGAGTCCAGCGCCTTAACCGCTACGCCACCTGCTGGCCCCCACTTACTGTATTTTTAAAGCCCGCCTCGCCACTTAAGCTCTCGGTCTCCCTAATAGCACGAACCAGCCCGCAGAGTTTCCATAACTGCCCTCCTGGTCTACAACCAAGTGGTGAGTCACAGGAAAACATGGCAGGCACCTGGCCATGCCATCTGCAAGTGTCGGGACCGCACCTTCCCCGTCAGGCCCCACTCCTCCTCAGAACCTGGTCTGACGCGGCCGTCTGCGTCTTTCTTGAACCTGTTGAGTTTCTGCTTGAGCAGTTTTCCAGGAGGTCATGAATGACAGGTTTCCTACCCTCTCACCCTTCTGCCACACGGAGTTTTTTTTTTTATCAGTGATTTGCTGAGAAATGACAACTTGCAGCAGAAACATGATGCCGTTTTTAGCCAGAAAGCTGAAAAAAGACTGCTCAGCCTCTGCGAGGCACCAGGAAAAAAATAAACATCGCGGTCAGCCCTTCCTGAGGATTCTAAATGCACATAAACGCCAGGGCTTTCTAATAGTCTGTCAATCATCACATCATTCGTACAAGGCAGGTATTATTCCCATTTGATAGATGAGGAAACCGAGACTCGGACAGGTGAAGTATCCCAGACAGGGTCACACAGATAGAGGTAGTGACGGTCCAGGCAGGGGTCAGCAGCCATTTTCTGCAAAGGGCCCGGGAGTCAGTATCTTAGGCTCTGCAGGCCATACAGTTTCCATAGCAACCACGCATTTCTGTCACGGTACCTTGAAAGTAGTCATCGATGATAGCGAATGAATGGTACGAACATGGAAATTTGAATTTCATAATGTTTTCACATGTCACAAGATCTAATTCTTTTTTTTATTTTGCTTTCTTTTGACTTTTTAAAAATGCAAAGAATATTCTTTGCTCAGGGCAGCGGGCTGGATTTGGCCTGTGGTCTATAGTTTGCTGCGCTGTTCTAAAACTGTGACTCCTAACTCCCTCCTCTCAGCCCCCACGCACTGTGGCTATAAAAATGCCATTTCTCGTAGCTGACAGGTGGCATGGTGTTTAAGATGCTGGACTCCCACATGGCTGACCACAGTTTGAATCCCAGATCTGTCAGTTTGCTTTTTCACTTTCCCTCTCTCTCGTCAAATTAAAATAATAATAATAATAATAAATAATGCTTTTTGAAAAAACGCCATTGGGACCAGCAGTTAGCATAATGGCTATGTTACTAGACTCCCATGTAGTTGACCGCGGTTCGAGTCCCAGACCTGGTGGCTTAAACTCACACCTGGCGCGTGTGTATGTATGCCCAAAATCCTGAGAGGAGAATGGAGGAGAAGGGATTGCAGCGAGGCTATCCCCCCGGGAGGTGATTTCTCGCTTTCTATCTCTCTGTCTTCGTCTATCTTTCTGGCGAGCGCATGTGCCCTATAGCAAAAAAAAGCCTCTCTGAAAAAGGAAAAACGAAACCATTAATTGATTTAGGGAAAAACAAAACAAAACAAAACTCTCAGATCTAACAGAGGAAGGAAGTGGGAGCTATCATTCTGCTGGATTGCTGGAAAAGTCACGATGCATTTTTGCATAGAAAAACAGAAAAACACACGTGACCTCTCAGACAACCTGATGTTGACTAGAGGGCTCCTCATCCAGCCTTGAGGAGTTCACTTACTTCCCTGGCAGAGTCTGTGGGCACATAAGTTGGGGAAGAGCCAGTCTGTGGGCCTAAGGACGTGAGGGCTGAGAAGGGTAAAGTGTGAGACTGCGATAATGATGGACAGATCAACTGTAATAAAAACGCGTTTATGGAATTCTCCCGTGGGCCCAGGAAAGCCATTCCTCTTATTTAAGCTGCATGATTGACAGCTACGTCTTGGGAGCAGACCCTGCTCGGGAAGATCTCTGTAGCGCCCGCGAATGACTAGCACCGTGAACTGACACTGAGAGCATCTTGGTAATTAACATGGATCAGTGGCCCCGGGGATGGGTGGGGGGGACCCTGTAGAACAGACGCGTCTCCTCTTTCTGGCCTTCCGTTTCGTCTGAAATGTTGTCAGGACCCCAGCCCTGGTAAGGCCAGACCAGGTAAACTGCTGTGGGGCCATGAGGCTTCCAGGGAGAAGACTTAGGAATTGGATTCCAGTATCGACCTAGCCACCTGGTCCATGTGCCCAGCAGATGCCGGTGTCTCTGGCTGCCCGGCAGGGGCTCCGAGAGAATGTGCCTCAAAGCGGGCTCTCAGCGTACCTTGTCACTGCGCGGCTCTGACACGCTTCCAGAGTTCCTGGCAGCCACGACCCTGCTGCCTTCTTGGCTCTGGGTAGACTCGGTGGCAGATGGCAGAAACACGGTGGTTAGGGCCAGGGAGATGGTGTCTGGGGAAGATGGCTGTCACTTCTCTGGCCAGAGCATGCCTTGGGTAGCTTTGTCCCAGGGTGAGCTGTCACTTCTCTGCACTCTTCACAGGGAGGGTACTCCAGCCTCGTGGGCCCTGTCCAGGTCCTGGGAGGGTGGAAAAGTCAGTGGGAGGCCTTGATCTCAGGTCTTTCGGTGCTCCTGGGATACGAGCGTATGCATGGTCATCTTTTGCACAGCCTTAGAGCTGAGAAGGGCTTGGAATCAAGAGTCTAATGGCTCTCAACCTGGAGACCCCAGAGCAGTAATTAGGGACATTTGGCCCTGGCATTTTGTCAATATCAAAAGAACTGACAGAAGTCAGACGCATAGCCATGACAAGCCTTCTCGGGCTTAGGGACCTTTGGAATTTTTTCATTTGGGACCGAAATATATGCACTGGGCAAGTTAGCCCTGGTTTGTGTCTGTTGATAAGAAGCTCTGGTAAATGGTGATTTATAGCTTTGTTTAATAAATACAAGATGAGTTAGTTATTACTTAATGAGTGAAGGATGCTTGTGAGACACAAACTTCCTTACACATGAAGTCTTTGGGGAGAGGTTTGTATTGATAAAAGGAGGTCTTTGTGCTAAAAAGGGAGAGACTGGGGCCAGCAGTGGCACAGTGGTTAAGGCGCTAGACTTCCACGTGGCAGATCATGGTTTGAGTCCTGGTCCTGGTGGGTTGAAAATCACAGTGGGTTCGTGTGCATGCGTGTCTCATATCCCAAGAGGAGAATGGAGGAGAAGGGTTTGTGGGATGGCCATCCCCTCTGAGGGGGTGATTTCTTGCATTCATTCTCACTGTCTCTCTCTCCTATGAGCATATGCACCCTATGGCAAAAATCTAATGAAAAAAACAAAAGGGAGAAATTACTGACCTAGGGCAACCCTTTCTCTTTACAAATGAATAAATGAGAGACCCAGAGAGGCAGAAAGCATTTGCTCAGTCACTGGCTACTGAAGTCTCAGAGACGAAGCTAGAACTTGCGTCTGGACCATCATCTCATGTCCCTCTGAGGACACCATAGTGGCCCCTGGTCCTTAGGGAGCCCCTCCATTCTGAAGTCAGCTCTGTCTAATCAAGCCATGCTTCCCTTGAACCATCTTTCCAGGATGGGTTGGGCTATAGTCACTCACACAGATGGGCTATGTCTGGACCCTGGTGGACACCCGAGGTAGGGGTGTGTTTCTTCTGGAATTTTCCACCCAGAAGCCTCATCCAGTAGGAAGCCGTTCCCACCTTTCTTAAGTCACACCATCACTTGTATTGTCTTTAAGGGCAAGAACTAAGACAAAAAAAAAATTTTAAATTAATTAATTAAATAGATTATTATTTTATTTATTATGTTGTTCTTATTTTAATTTGCTATAGGGCATATGTGTTCACCAGAGATAGACACAAAGAGACAGAGAGACAAAGTGAGAAGGGAAGCTGCCAGATGACCGACTTGAACCAGAGCTGGCCACGTGAATCCAGTACCTTAACCACCACGCCACCTGCTGGCCCCACAAAAGACACTATTTCTAGGAAATTCTAGGTAGGAAAATGAAGGACAGAGAACAAAGGGAAACTGAGTCAGGAAGACCAGCAGGAAGATCCAGCTGTGAGGCCTTGAAGAGTTGAATCATTCTGGAGTAGAAGAGGCATTTGGTGCGTCCCATGAGTCGGGCTCTTTGAATCTGTGAGCCCCCTTAATTTTCACAGGGACCCCATCAGGTCGATCGCGGGGGAAGAAACTGACGCTCCAAGAGATTTGGTGATTTGGGGAAAGCCTCGCTTGCGTTTGGTCGGTCCAGGGACCACACCAAGTCCCTTTGGCTTTGAAGCCAGTGCCATATGCCATGCCCGTGGTCCCCGGCTGGCCTAACCCCTGCTCTCCTCCCTCTCCAGACACATCGAGAACTGGCGCGGCCTGCACACGCTCAACGCCGTGGACATGGAGCTGTACACCGGCCTCCAGAAGCTGTGAGTGTGCGGCCGCGGGAGGGGCCTCGTGCCGGAAGCGGCGGGCGGGATGTTTCCTGCTCTCTTCCCCGGGCTGGGCTGGGTGGTGGAAGTGGCCGGGCTGGCATCTCTGCCTCTCGCCGTGTGGTCCTTGGGATCCTTCCAGAATATCAGAGACTCCACAGTCCAACTCTTCTCCCCTGCATCTCACCCCTAGCCCAGAGAGGCAGGGGGGTTGCGTGAAGTCTCGTGCTGAAATTCGGGTTTTGAGGGAGTTGCTGCACCCGGGCCAGCCTGGCCTGTGTTCTTGGCTCAGCCCTGCACTTGGCTGGTGGTTGCCACAGCGCACTAGATTTCTCTGTAGGACGCCGGTGCTGGTGACCCTGGGGGACCTCGGGTGCTTAGAGGGAGAAAGCACCAAGGGGTGCAGACTGTGCTGTTGGGCAAGTAGGAACCCCCCCCCCCCCCAC